CTGCGTTGATTTCCAGGAAATTGTGAAAATAACCATTTGATCTAGTAAAAAGAAGTTCATTCAGTACATATAATAAAATAGAATGCAAATAGATGCACAAAGAAACAAACGTAACGTCTTCAGGATGCGAGAAGCAGTATGCCTTGTTGGTGTGCTGCCGCAATCAAAAATAATGATTATGCTGTCGATTACTAGCAAAATGTACGTATTTATAAGAAAAAATAAAAAAGTTGCTTAACTTTTGACAGGCAAAAATTGGGTCAAATTAGTTTTCCATAGAATATTTTTATTTCAATATATGTATTTTTTTTTTTTTTTTTTTGTTTTTTCAAGTGAATACATTCTTATTTATTTCTGAAAAAGCGTTCAGTATAATTTTTTTTTAAAAAGTTAGAGGTAATTTATTCTGTTTGCAATTTCAGTTACTTTAGTTTTGGTCGCAAGTGTAAGATATACATCTAGATCATCTCCAGCTGGGGACCCACTATAATTATGGAAACGGAGTTCAAACACAATCTACCTCAAGATATTATTTGAAAACGTTCGACAATTAGAAAATTTTAATTATATTTGTATACCTTTGGCAAATCTCGTATTCAAATTTTCAAGCAGAAAACGGTGTAGTTTGGAATATCGGGTTTCCTAAATATAGGTTCATGTTTCAACATAACACCATGACATAACTACGTTGTGATCTAGGAACAGTATACATAATCACTTATGTGATTATTTATCGCATTGGAAGCTAATTTTGGTGTTCTAGTATCTAGTATCTATCCCTCATTTAACTTTTAATATGCGTCAATTAACAATCTAGAATGATACATTTTGATAATATATTTCGAATAACTTGGGTAATGTTATGGACAATTTTTTTTAATATTAGCCATTTGTCTGCATGACTCTCCATTTTCGTCTAATATTCCATCTTCATGTTCGACACTTATTTTCCTCATTTTGCAGTTACAAATGAATTACCAACATTTATTTTTAAATTGTATACAAAGTCGATATTAAACCAAAACTCTATAGAAAATAATGGTAAATTGGAGACTGCTTAAGTTATTGGTAGAGTTGTCATTTGTTGCGATCGTTCGATTTGATCAAATTTGAAATATCTTAGCTAGAACAAATTTTGTTACAAAATGTACCAACATACATCTCCAAATTGCCTTCAATCATGTATAATTGTAATCCTATGCATGACAAAGGCACTATACTATTATAAAAACATTCTGAAAAAAATATGTTCATAATATTGTTATTCGGAACTGTATTTGTTAGCTTTTCACAGATTAATGTAATTATTTTATGTATAGAGTACACAAGTTAAATATATACTTGATTCAACTCGTTCTCCTTCCAGGGTGTCCATAAAATAAATACAAATATGTATGATGACCGATTATATGAACTGTAAACCTATAATAATATGTAATTTAAATTTCCCCTGAAATTGTTGTTCTGTTCTTAACGTAAATAATAATAATAATACAATTTTCCAGTGCGTTTGTAAATGAAAACTTCTGGAAGTTTAAAGTCTTGAAAATAATGCTATCAGGAAATCCTTTTTTATAAGTTCAAATCGCGTCGTAATTTTTACCATGTACAAAGACATGGAAACTGTAGAGATAACAAGAAATTTTCAGCTCAACTTTGGTAAGATGCATGTATTGTTCCTTTAATAATAATACTAATCTTGTTTCTGATGCAGCCAACAATAATTTGACTTATTTCAAATTCAAACCGGTTGGTATTACTCCAAGTTGACTCCAACCCATCAGGTGTTCATACTATAGCAATGGACTATTACATGTTATGGTCAATAGTTGCATACATTCGTACGAATGTTTATTGTCGTTGTTGTTTTTGTTTAGTACATGCATTGTTTGGCAAATACATACTTATGCATAGATACATACATATATGTTTTTGAAGTCACTTGGCCATCAGATCTGTGGAGTAATCAAGCAGTGAAATTTGTACCATTGTACGACCATGAACTCGACCACTTCTAGCTCTGGTAATTTGCAAACATCATGCAGCAACAGAAATGTAATTATAATATTATTTTTAGATGACACCTTACGAGATGTACCTTTTGTTTTGTGTGAACATTTTTGAGTACAACAATGCATATAAGTTGAAGTCCTGAGCAAAGTGTACATGACACCATCTGTAGAAAACGCGAACCATCAAAGCAATTGCATTGAAGATGTAAAGCCGGTATAACACCAAACATATTTAAAGTCGACATCCAAATATTTGTGTAAAACCGAAATAAAGTTAGGCAAAATTTACTTGCGTCAGTTTATGACCATTCCCCTCAACTCTATCACCCGCAAACTACAGAATTGAGGCAATTCAAATTGGCTAATTTAAATCAGAGCTAGTTTATAGTATAGGTTAGACATTAATAGTGTTTGCCCTTTACTGGTTGAATGTTGTTAAAATGTGGCCATTTTGCATTATTTAAAAAAAATGTTCTAAATATTTCGACTTCAAGCGAAAAATAATTTAAAAAAAAAACTAAAAGTTGACTTTAGCTATTTCAAAGTTGACTTTAGCTATTTGACTTTAGTTTTTCATAAACTCCCCTTTTGAACGGATGAACAAATATTTAAAAGCCAAAAAAGTTATACATTTTTGGTTGACTACTACTAATACTTAGTTTTGGTGGTACATGAGCAGTTCTCGAGTAAGATGTTCTTCAGCAAATAGTTCTTGCGAAATTTTTAAAATTCCTGAAACAATAACACAAGAAAGGATATAACAACCTATAAACAATAATGTTTAGGCCATAGACAACGAGTCTAACTGGGTGTGTAATGATTTGAAAGACGAATTAAAAGTACAAAAAAGAAAAACTATACGAAAAGTTTATGGACAGAAACCCAACAATTTGAAAATGTGTAAAAATTAAAAATGTTCTAATTAAAAATGTTCTAAAGTCCTTAAATGCAATGGATCAAATTTAATAGTAATGTTACATTTGCATACAACATTGTTGGTCCATAAATATTTTAGAGCCTTTGTGTATTAATAGCCTGGAAGTGCTCGAGCCACAATTGGATAATAAATGTTCATTCATTATTCCACACATTATTAGATTATCGCGTGAGCTGAAGCATCTGTAATATAGTTTTAAAGTATACAATAACGTATTTAGATAGAACGGATGCTTACTGTGATTGGACTTAGAACGTTGAGCAAAATGCGACATTACACAAATAGCTTTATTGTGTTTGACGTTACCTAAATTATACTATTATCCAAGTTGGTTACAAAATATTCTTATATCTGTGATGCTGAAAATATCTATTTCGGTCACCTCACATTATTAAGTCATTGTCGATGTAATGATGTCCGACACGAAGCTTCACAATATTAATGAACAAGTTCTGAAATTGGGAGCAGCCAATTTCCTATTGCATTGATCATATTACTGAACGGAATTTTTGCCGTCATACAAATTGAAGTGCCCGATTGACAGTAAAGCGTGATTTACAACGAACATGTTTTACTGAAATCGTAATTTATTTGATGTATATACTAAGGAAATATATAGTGTAAAAGCTCCCTATATAATTTTAACCCTCTTTGAACAATTACCTGGAACTCCAAACAATTTAGGTTCAATGAAGAGGTTTACGCATTTTCACCTGACCAAAACCTGAGTTTAGAATGTATGTTGGTTCATAGGTATGACTATCAAGCATCCGCCCCTTGTTCAATTGTGACTAACTAATTGGGTCGAACAAATACCCTCAAACATATATTATCCATTATTTGGAACAATTTGTACTAACTGTTTGGCGGGATTTCATAAACACTTTTAATTAAACTTTATTTTTTATTTTCAAGAATACATTTGCATATTTATTAACTCTAGGGTATTGGTCGTGATCTGTGGTTCGTTGGTTCATCTCCAAAAACGAAACATACGTAATTTGTATGCGCATGGACATGTACTTGACCAATTAAGCATAGAACCCTCAGCCATAGCACACTATCGACAAATGAGAGAAGAAAACACCCAAACATCCAACCTACAACGACAACAACAGCAAACACTCAGAAATAAACAAAGGGAAATGCCAAATACCAATGCGGTCTCGAACTCGCTCTACCCCCTCCTACAGCGGAGATAACTCGATAGACAAATACAAGATCAACTTGACCGCGTACAACCAAAGCCAAAAAGAAACAACGTCGACAGAGCAAATGTATGTTTGGGTTCAGATTAACTACGGCGGCAGCGGCGCGGAAAGAATCTGCAATATTAGCCATTAGAGCAAAGCAAAACGCATAACAAATACAAAAGCAAAATAACTACCACTGGCCCGATGAGAAGTGAGACAGATCGGCAGCAACAACAACAACATGCCGTCATGTTAGCCCTTGAAGCCGGCCGTATATCGCAGAACGTACGGAGATCGAAGGTTTAAGGTGTCGATACTTTAAGAAAACCCCAGGTTCGGAGCACAACATCGTGCAGTTCGCTGTGAACGTGATAACCGTCCAACACGTTGCTTCCTCTGGAAACCAAGAGACAAGTCAACGCCAAAATTGAAAAAGTCCATAAAACCATATCGCACTGCCGCCTGTGTGTCCGCCACCAAGAAGTTTTCAGCAAACGTGCTCTCATAAATGCTCGGCAAGACTACGTCCCGAAATAGAAAACCGCCACAAGCGCACGTAGAGTTCTCACACATCGATTGAAAGTCTTTAAAATTCAGTGTAATTACGCAGAGTTCAATTGTTTGCGAGCTGACTTCGTGCAGTGAGCATTAAAACGTAGCCACGCCGCGTAACGAATCACAACGAGTATCAACGGATACGGATACGGACACTTCCAAAGAACAATAAAACGCATTATCCTTGTGACTTAACAGTGTATCAAATGAAAAGTCAACAGTGTGAACTAATTTAAGCCCAAAATACCAATACAACAGCACACGTTTTACAAATACCACGTGAACATTTGTAAGAACGAATAGCTTCCCGCTTAACAACCAAAGGATATACCCTAATTCAATAAGGTAAATATTTTAAGTCCACAAATACAAATGGGCAGATCGAAAGTGAAATTAAATATAAATATTTAGTGTGGATATTAGTGTGAAATTATTTACAAAATGAAGCATGGAAACATAAAGGCAAATCAATAGCCAACTTATCAACACTTTCGAGCATGGTGTTATTTTGTAGTTATGCAAATCTAAATTTTAGGATTTGACAATTTATTTTTGTAAGATTTGTTTGCAGATTAAAAACATATATGAACACAGTATAGTTTTGGATTTTTGGTTGATTTCTCTTAAAATGGGATTTGAACCACTACATATTCCTTTAAATAAATAGACTCTCTCAGGATACACTACAAGTACTGCTCCCAAGACAACAACAATTAATTCGAAGCATTCAACTTCAATTGTTTTGGCATTTACATTTTGTAAGAAAATGTAGTAGAATGATTCCATTGGGGGATTTGATATTTTACATGGAATGTGGTAAAAACAAATGTTCCTTAGAAAACATAAACACTGAACAGACTTTACAGAATCGATCATTAAATGATGATTTATCTTGGTTAATGCAACCTATAACTGAATCCTTTTTGTAATATTAAATTAATGTCTTGGAAATCACTTTTTCACTTGGAGAACTATTTATATACTGCCATCACTGCTATATATATAGCATGTCCCCCGCCTCTTACTCCACCTAACAAATCGACAATTATTTATTCACATGGAAACGGGACGTACAAAATAAGGTAATTACCCCAAAAGGAGTTCTCATTACGCATCATCTGACAGCTGAAGCACACATATCATGTTTTTGCTGGCCAATTTTAAGCTCGGCGCAACAAAGCCCCACTTAAGTATGCCAAGACATACTTAGCCAAACCATTAGCGTTCTGCATATCAATAGCTTACAGACCAAAAACATAAACATTCGTACAGTCCGTACATTGAACGCACGAGTAATGTGGACGTGTGTTGAGCATTCTAAATGATTTCCTAAAACACATCACTGGTGTAGAGCAGCCACCCGACTGCGTCTGAACAAGAACCCGGAACACAGACAACTGAAATCGAACAATAACAACAAAAACCCTAACACCTTCTTCGGTCCGTACAATGGGTGAAATATCGAATAGCAACAACAATAATAATAATGATAATCAAGTCAGAAATGTGCGTGTGTAGATGACACAAGGAAGCCATTATTGTTTATTATCATTCATATAGAATATAAAATTAATATCATAATGAATACGGCGATTGTGTTATGTACGCGAATGTGTATGTGTGTGGACAGCCTTGACCACTTAGATAACAAGCACCCAAAACCTGCTAAATATGACGACCCCCATTAGATTTGCTCACTTTTTTAAGAACACACATCTCGGCTTTTCAATAGAAATACACACACACACACACACACAGAGAAGATAAGACAAAACCTTGGGTTAGTTATGCAAATATACGAAGAAAGAATTCAAAAAGATCAAAAGATGAGAGGAGATGGGGGGACTAATTGGAACTGAACCAATCATTAGTTAAATATGCAAAATAATATACAGTATATATTTTTTGTGTTTGATTTATTTCATACAGGCACACTCGCATATATCTGTGTACGTTTATAGGTACACACGACTATGTATGTATGTCAAGAATAGCCCTTGCCAAAACCTGAAATGTGCTACAGAACAAAAAGTCAATGTCAGTAATTTTATGATTATCAATTTGGAATTCGAAAATGTATTTCACATGAAGATTGATTTTTTTTGTAAACAATTCTGTCAACATTTTCGAAGGACATATTTTCATTAGATGCAAATTTATTTTGCTAATTTTTTGTGGAGAATTACTGCCCGATCGTGTAATTTATGCCATTGACACAGTTATTTAAGAATGATGCTGCTCAAGATCAAATCCATAGACAATAAAATAATTACAACACATGTTGTTCTCATGCACTGTCAGTCTAAGTACAGTGGCTCCAAGCATCACAGACCTACTCAGGCGGATATTATGCTGAGGACTAGCCGCGTTCATTTCACTTAGGACTAGATGTTCGAACATACGTACCCATATGCGTGTGTGTGTGTGTGTAATTGTATAGATTGATAGATTTAAAATTAGCATAAACAAAGTTACTATTTACCAGCGATTTGATTGGAAGAAACTGCAACGTTTTCCATGACAAGTTAGATATGTGAAAAATGTGCCAGTGGATCGGTTTGTATGTCAATGCAAATGACTTAGTTGCAATCAATATTCACACTCAAATGTGTTTTTTGTTGTTGGTGTTGTGTTTTCTTCATTGAGCCAAGGTAGTGTGGATCTGTATTGGAGTCACAAAGCTCAATCAATGAAAGGTTAACCAGTTGTTAGCTGTTTTACAGATTGGATGCCAGCGAACAGCAGCGAATATGCATTAACATACGAGCGCATAAATGCACATTGATTGGAGAACGAGTTCAAGGTGTCGATGAGGTGCAAATGCGCATTCTTGTAGCGGTGAAATTTGTTTCAAATACATAATTTTATGTTTTTATCTGCACGGGACGGACAGTGTTTCTTAGCTAATTTCGATTCCGATAATATCATCTTTATTTTGCTTGTTTTTCCTGACATTCAACATCGTATTCGATGTGTACAGGAAGTATAAAAGAAGAGCTTGAATAGGTGGTTTTAGCCAATATATGCTCGATAGCCATCATTTGACTTTACTTCCGGTTAATCGGTATTTGTTTCAGGGTCTAGAACTCAACCAGCCATACCACCAGCCAGCTATTAATTATTGTTATTCATTCGATTGTTTTGTTGTTTTTTCTTTGAATATTTGAGAAGAGGTTAGCGCTGATTATAATTTGCATTTCGATCGTATATTTATAAGACCACACGACTGCCAAATGTCGACAATGATTTCATTTGGAGCCGTGAAGACTGAGCTCACCCTCTGAATACAAATCATTGTTAAAATGTCATATCCAATTTCATACAAATAGAAAAGACGCTTGGAAATCCTTAAGGTGGAATCCGTATCCATTTATTTAATACAAGATTAGAGGATAATGTTTTTTATTTATTTATATTTATTTTTTGTTTTGGTTTTTTTTTATTAGATGGCACCCAATATAATTGGAAGTACTTTCATCTTGGCCGAAACGGCCATAAGCAATACAGATCCAAATAATAATAAGACCACAACCGCGTCAGCGCCTGCAGCAACAGTAGGAAACACAAACACAGCTGCAACAGTGGCACCAACCACCACCAAAGTGGCCAAACAAGATGCCGCCCAGAAGAAGCCCTACCAATTGGAAATTGTTTGGCATAACATCCTACTGTTCATAATCTTGCATAGCTCAGCCCTGTACGGTGTATATCTGATATTTGCCGAAAACGCCTACTTGGAATTTGCACTTTGTAAGTAGATATATTAGTGTGTGTGTGTGTCTGTACGTGATATATGATATACTGATTGACGATCTGTACGTTTTAGCATACATATGTCTGTTTTTGGGTGGTATGGGCATTACTGCTGGGGTCCATCGTTTATGGTCTCACCGTGCCTATAAAGCCAAATTACCCTTGCGCATTTTCCTTATGTTGTGCCAATCTCTGGCCTTCCAGAATAGCATCTATGAGTGGACTCGCGATCACCGTGTACACCACAAATTCACGGATACCGATGCAGATCCCCACAACTCAAGACGTGGCTTCTTCTTTGCCCATATGGGTTGGTTGCTTTGCAGAAAACACCCCGACGTCAAGGAAAAGGGCAAACAAATTGATATGAGCGACCTGGAAGCCGACCCCGTTGTTATGTTCCAAAAGAAGTGAGTTGAGCAGTGTACTCTGTGGCTATGTGAACAGCATTTCAATTGGTTTTTCCATTTCTAGGTACTATTTCGTGATCATGCCCATTTGTTGCTTTGTATTGCCTGCCCTCTTCCCATACTACTATTTGGGATCGTCTTTGAAGGTGTGCTTCTTCGTTGGATCCATGTTGCGCTATTGCATTTCTTTGCATGGCACCTGGCTGGTCAATAGTGCTGCCCACTTTTACGGCATGAAGCCATACGACAAATTCATCAGCTCCGTTAACAACAAAGTGGTTTCCAGCATCACCTTCGGCGAGGGATGGCACAACTACCATCATGTCTTCCCCTGGGATTACAAAGCAGCTGAATTGGGCAACTACTACAACTGGACAACCGGCTTCTTGAACTTGATGGCCAAAATCGGTAGGTTCATCTGGTTCAAGTCAGTGAATAAAACCAGTGGCTAATTATTATATTTTCCTTTACACAGGTCAAGCTTACGATATGAAGACCGTATCCGAGGAGATGCTGTTGAAACGTATCCAACGTACAGGTGACGGATCTCACCCATCGTGTACTGACATGAATAACAATGTAACCACCGGCAAGGGAATTACACCGGAAATGTTGGCGAAGTTAGACCACGATAATGAAGAGACAATGATCTGGGGCTGGGAAGATAAGGACGTTAGCGAGGAGGACCGCTTGTGTGCAAAGATTATCGAAAAGAAGGACGAATAATGCTCTGAGAAGAGTGAATGCCCAGATGTTAAGCATTTCTTGTCGGAGTCTTGATCACCATCTTACTCTACCTATCAGTCAATAATAAGGTTTAGGGGAGGGGGACTTGATTAGGGGGCTACAATTCCTCCTATACTCTGTATGCCCCCGAGTTCAGCGACTACTCTGATTTGGTTTAAATTGGTGTTTGTTGCTTCGCACACTTCACACAGTCGCACAAGTCTCCGACATAGATATTCATTTTGTACCTTTCGTCGTTTAGTCGCTCACCGTGACACACTTTTACACACGCTGGCAAACATTTCGGTTTTTAGTGTAACTTCTAGTTTTAATCTGCAAAGAGGTCTTTCGTAGTTCTAGACATGCCTAGCTTTAATTTCTAGTTTTGTAAGTATCATTGTTATTCGGTCCACTGAGCGGTGTCCGGCCCTATGCTCCCGGCATGCTGTTCTCATTTGTATGTAATTCAATATTCTTTAAGTTGTATAAAGAAACGAGAAGTAAGGTATAAAGATTCATAGACCCCCTGTTCAGGGCGTTAAGTATGTACGTCATAGATTTAGGATGCATTAATGTCATTTGTACATTTCGATTTACATAATAACCAAAAATTTTAATATACACATAACTGTAAAAACGAGTCGAGAAAGAAAAATATAGAAAATCATAAAAAAAAATATTAAAATGTATAGCAAAAAAATGTTTCATTGGAATATTGGGGGCTAGTTAACATAGACTATTGGGGGCTAGTTAACATAGACTAGGTTAACCAAGGTCAACCGTTAGATAGAATGGGTGTTTCAAACATTTCAGAGAGGACCAGAGAGATTCTTAAATTAGTACTACATTAGGTTTAAAATACCTATGATTGGTTTGAAATACCAAATCCAATATTTAACATTCATTAATTCTTATTATACACTAAAAAGACAAAGACATACAAGTCTAAGAATTGACAATTGATAAGTCGACAAATTCCAATGGATGGATTTTCCTCCATCCCCCTACATATGTTTTCATAAACTTTTTTGTCAAAATGCATTTTGTCGAGTCTTTAAGGTTTCTAAGTCTTTGAAGAAGCTGACATGAGAGTACTAATATTTCGTTTTTATTAAAGTATTCTAAAAAAATATGGTTCAGTGGTTTAATATTATCTAGATCGTTGCATGCCTTGAGATATAACGATACCAATAAAATGGCACACTACGTGACATCATTTAAGCGTTTTCATACAACACATAAGACGTAAGCCATACCATTTCACATGTCATAATTATAAAAGAACTAGAAACCATAAAGACTTGACAAAATGCATTTTAAGGAAATAGTCTATACAAACACATTTACTGGGCTGCCGGCAGAGCACAGGCATGTTAAGCTCTAATAAGCAACCATGTTCACTAAAACGTCAATAAAATTGTTGTTGGATTGTATCATGGTGCAAACAATTAATAAAAATAACAAATACAACTCTGGTTATCGTGGACGGTCACAATAACTGGCAATTCACACACTATTGCTCGTGGTGGTTTATGTTACTTTATAATTTACCGTAATTTTTATTGAGTTTTGTTTAGATATCGATTTAATGTGTTGTTTAAAGAGTTTATATGGGGTCTCCAAATTAATATTTTCACTTTTTTTAAATAAACATTGATAATTCATTTGTTACAAGTTTTAAAATTAAAGATCGGACTGATATTGGCTAAATATTAAAAAAAGTACATAACATTGTCCAAATAATTCGTAAAAGACGAAATATATAATCGAAATGCATCACATCTGGGCGCTCAAGACAGGTGCTCGACATATTAAAAGTTTAATGAGGAAAAGAGATACTAAAACACCAAAATTAACTGCCAAGGTGATAAATAAACACGTTAGAGTCTGGACTGTTCGTAGATTCCTTGGTGGAATTGGTCCAGTTGCAACAGTCAAGAAAAATAAACCAATCAAATAAACAAAATTAAGTAGCGTCTACAATTCCCGTTTTCAATTGAATAATACAAAATATTACAGCAACAACTCACATGAAAATCTTCAGCGACATCAAGTAAACCAAACTGTAAAACATGGCGGGGGAAGCTTGATGGTTTGGGGTTTTTTATGGTCCAAAGCACCACTTTTCTTGGCCAAAATTATTAAAAATTGAAATACTGGTATTTTTAATATAGATGTACATTTGCAGCATAATTTAAGAGTATTAGCTTAATGTAATACCTTTGTTTATATAAATCAACAACATTTGAAATTAAATTTAAATGAAAACAAGCAAAAACTAAGTTAATATCTGCCGGACCGAACTTTTTATACCCTCCGTCATGTGATGAACATTCAAAAGTTCTTAAAAGGATTGAGACCTTTATTGGTTCTATGTCGAAAGATAAACCTACATCGAAAATATGTTGGAAATATGTTTCCCCCTACGAAAATCCGGATTGCCAAATTATAGCCAATTGGTGGAACAATGCAACTAAAACCTTCAATATACCGCTTCGAGATGGAATAAATAAGGAATATCTCTTAACATGGACTTATATAGCATATTTCCTGTGAATATGTTTTTCAGTCTCCCAAAGTCCCAGTTTCTACCCAAAGAGAAACCTATATATTAAATTACAGAAATCGCAAAAAGTCGCAAATCGGGATAAATATTTTTAATAACTAGACGCCTTAAAGTAATTTTGGTATTTTGCTAAATAAACCTATAAATGTAAACATATTTCGGTTAAATAAGAAAATTGGTCTGTTTCCGTACTGCAAGAACATACTATTTTATACTACGATAACGAAATTTCATTTATGTTATCGAAGAAAATAGTAAAATCAAGTAGATTCTTGCAGTATGGGAACAGACCAAATGTTTTCATTCATTTTCGCCGTTTTCAACGGACACACATGTAAATAAGGTCTTTGCGTATTTGGGTAATACGAACGTTCAACAAACCCTATAAAGGTGAGAAACGCACTGAATTTAGGTACAGGCCCTATTGATTTTTTAAATATTTTTTTAGAACACACTAATATAAATTTTTAATAAATACCCTTTGTTTTAAGGTCGATCAATTAACTCAAGTAAGCAACATAAACCACATCGCGTTCTATATTCAAATGTACAGTCGAATTCGGATAAGCGAACGCCGATTTATCGAAAAAATCGGTTAATTGAAACTACAAATTTTAAACTAATATTTGGAGTGAATTTTCAAACACTCTACTTCGCTTAAAAGAAAAACCGGTTAATTGAAATATGTATAAGAGAAGGACTCTTTTTTTTTGCAAAAACAAAATTATATCTGAAACGAGCACCGTTTAAGAGAAAAAAAAATTATTTTTGTAAATTTTAATTTTTTAACATTTTTTTGTGCAACCCTAAACTTATGTTGCACATTTTTCCAACCATCCAAGAAAATGTCTAAGACAAAAAATAAGTTCTTACTCAATTCATTTCATATGATTTATAAATTTCACGATTTTTTAGATATTGATTGAAAACTTCATTTAAGCGCAACGAGTTTCGATTATCCGAAGTTCTTTTAATTGAAAATTCTGCTTAAGAGAATTTTTTTTTTCTAAAATTAGGCGTTTTCGCTTAACCGAATTCGACTGTAGTAAACAAATTAAACTTCAGTGGCCCACCGTTATAACGGGCTATTACATATTACAACAACAAACATATTTTTAGAGTGTTTATTCGGAGATTTAAATTCAAAAAAAAAAACTTCAATTTCAAAATTTTATCTTTTGGCCAAAGAATGTGTCAGTTTGGACCATTTAGATAGAATGTATAATGAAGGTTAAAAGATTATCTACGTATTTGCTAGCACATGTGGAGAAATGCATACTCCGAGGTGAAGTTCCAATTTCAGCAGGATGGAGGTTCTAAGCACAGTTATTAGGAATTTGTTATCTAACCAAAAAATTGATGGACTCTGGCAAAGTGCACAAGAGGAATGTAACAGATGAAATCATAAAATATGGTGGAGAATATGCCAAACCACACTAAAATGGTAAAAAAAGAGCATAGATTATGAACAAAGTATTTAAAATCGCTTAATATTTTGATTTTTTTTTTATACGTGCAAAAGTGTTCGAATTGAGTTGTTTTTTTATTTTAATTGTTTCTTTAAAAATGCAATATAATAAATATGAAACCAACCCTGAAATATTTATATTGCGCTATCATCCATTAAATATTTTTGGTCTGTTCCCGTACTGCAAGAATCTACTACTTTATACTACGATAACGAAATTTCCTTTATGTTATCGAAGAAAATAGTAAAATCTAGTAGATTCTTGCAGTACGGGAACAGACCATTTGTTAGGGTTAAATCAAGGAATTTCTCAACATTGGTACACTTTTGCTCCCACTGTATGTTTCCAAATAGCGCTTAAAAACGTTTAACATTGCTTGCACTGTTATGATATCATAGGAAGAGAGAAAAGCCATCTATCGGAATTTGTCGACGTATGAGCCAAAAATATTTGTTTGCAATTTAAAAATGAAAAGAAAAATTACAACAATGGGAATGTTACTGAAATTCGTTTATAAAATGAATAGGGAGAAGCAAAAAATGAGAGATGCGGATTCGAATTTTCGAAAATGGTGGTTGAAAAAAGATTAGTGTTTGCCATATTGTAATTTAAGTTGTAAATGGTGTTGCTATATCGTAATTTAAGTAGTAATGTGTGTTGCCGCATTGTAATTTAAAATTGTAATATTTTTCATTATTTTATTTATTGGGTTTTTTAATTTGTTACTTTACATTGTTATTTAAACTTTATAACAACATAAATGTGAAATATCAAGAATCCGCTGTAAAACTACAGCTGGCACAGCTGTTTATTGTTTAGATACACCACCTACAACAGATTGCAAATAAAAGAAAATTTTGATGATAGCAAAAATCCGTTCAATGCGGTTGTCAAAAACAACGAATGATGAATGAAAAGACACAACGATTGAATTAAATTAATTTGCAGTTTGTTATTTCACTACATAATTGTG